AATGCCTCGCTGGCGGCGACGTAAGGCAAAGCGGTCAACATGATATATAGCTGCGGCCTTTCGAAGACTTAATTTTGGGTCATTCTGGAGGGCCTAAAGGGCAAGAATAATCTTAGCTTTATTTGAAGACTGTGGCATATTAGGTTGTTGAGAAATATCTAATTGAATAGTGATAGTGTAGGTTGAGGGATTTTTGGAGCACTCGCTTGTCTGGAGCACTCGCTTATCATGCACGTTACATAATGATACTATTTATAACGTAAGAAATATCACAAATATAAATATTTTTAAATATAGGCTATACTATAATAATTCAAGTTCCTTATGTTTACTGTATTTCCTACCTTTAATAGGTTGAAATGATAAAGTGAATACTAAATGCTATATAAGTAATTAAGGCTTGTATAAAGTACATAAATACATAATTATAGATTTCATACTTCAGCCTAGTTATAAATTATTTATTAAATCTCTATTTATAAAAGCATAAAATATAAGTACCTTGGAGACTTTATAGTATCAAATAGCTAATAATAGTATTATTACTATTAAAGAGCTAGAATAATAAGGATGTTAGTTGACGGACTTTGCTCGACTTTATGGAAGGTATAGATAGAGGTATTAGAAGTAAAGGCTAAAGGCTTGAAGGCTAGTTAAAACCTTAGGAAAAGTAACTAATTTCTAATAGTTAAAATTTAAAAACCCTCTTATAACTTGAAATGTCTAGGATGTATAGAACCCGAGGACATAGCAGAAAGGTCATCAATGATAGTATTGAGGAATACTCACCTGAGACATCACCATCAAATAACGGGGTAAATAGTATCAACCCTGCTGATAGCCTTTGTGAAAATATTGTTGATCAGTATTCGCCTAAGGCCACCAAGCGACCTCGCCATTCCTTAAGAAATATTAGGGGAATATCATCCCCGAAAAGCGGCACAACGTCCCCGCAGACACCAAATACGCGCTATAGGAGGGGTAGTGAGACCATTAAAAGGTTCCAGAAAACCAATCAACTAGCCATAGTCATACCATCGACTGTATCTGAGGAAGAGGAGAAAGGAAGAAATGACAGCGTATTGCGCTTGGCCAATATTATTACACTGGCTCTACGTCTAGAAGAGATTGGGGAATTGCAAAAGGTTCAAGAGGACGCAAAGGTTCGCACTGCTACAGCAGAATCGAAGGTTTTTGAGGCTATACTTGCAGAAAACAACGTCAAAGTGGCACAGGATGCTGTAAAGAGCTGTATTCAGGAGCATTTCTCCAATCACCGCACAGGAGGAATTATGAGACCTTATCGAAGATCAGTCAAAGAAGCCCAGGACGTTGTGAAGGTATCCATAGAGCAACGAGAGGATGTAGAGGAGCAAGCAGCAGCATTGGGACTATGCGATTCTATTGTACAACTTTATAACATCCTCAGAAAGGGAGACGCTAAGATCGAACAATTGACTAGGATATTAGAAAACACCATACACAAGGCATAGCTACGCCCCTGTTAACGATTTGCGGTCGACAGGCAAGAGGCTAGAGAAGGTTCAGTAAACATAGTAGATTCATTTCCCCAAGATTGAAATATTTCTGACCGCACTAAAGTGTCGAAATGCTATCTTACTATCATCACTAGTAACATGGTAACGAAATAACGACCATCTCTCCAAGAACTTCAATAATACCCCGCTTTTTAAATAAATAGCTTGCTGCTATTCAGCCATTATGGTCCCGAGTTGCCAGCGTCAAGTCCAAGTCTAGTTTGGATATCTGTTCTCCGGGTTTTCCATCTTATTATCA